AAAAAAAAAGGCAGATAGATGATCAAGGTAGATCGAGATCAACTACCAATTGGATCCCCATGAGGGCCAACTGGACTCAATTGACAAGAAGAAATGCCAGGAGGAAGCTCAAGAAAAGAAGAAGCTTACATTGGTGGTAGCAACGCCACAGTCCTCAGGTTTGCCGAATTTGGACGGCTGTGCTGGAGGGGTCTTGATGAAGGTGATGTCGCCCTCCAGCTCCTCGCCGCGACCGCGAGCTTTCTCGGCCGACATGTTGGGTGATGCTGGCTTCGAGGACCGACCAGCGGGTCCCTTTCTTTTGCGCTACTTGAGCAACGAAAGGCAAAGGGATAGAAGATAGAAGTTCACGACGAGTGCTGTGACGTCGTCGTTGCAGATCCGAATGGGTACAGGAGAAGGAGAAGAAACAAAAGGTGTTGGTAGGCGGGTGAAAATGTGTGTCTGGAAAGTCTCTTGGTTTCTCGTTTTTCGTCGGTCTTAGGGTAGCCCCCTTTTTTCCTTGCTTCTCCCCTTATCTGTAGCTAATTTCGGTGCCGGCTTATCGAGATAGCTTCGGGGTCCCACTGTAGGTAGGTAGGTAATTACTTCATCCAGGGGAAAATATACCTACCTAGGTAAGGTACGTACAGTATGTATAGTAACGGGGATGGTTGGGAATCCCCAGCGGGCCCGGCCCTTTGACCGTCTTTTGTCAGTGCAACTGTCAACATCAATACCTGCACGGTACCTAAAATTACCGTAGCATTCGTACCTAAGGTACCTAGGCTGCGCTTCAGCTATGGTCACGAAAAATGAAACCGCCGCCGCGTCCCAACTCGTCAACCAATTCCACATGCAAATTCTCCATTTCCTTCCTCGCCGCCATTGCCGTGAGCTGCTCCGTCTTTACCAAGTCGAGGCAATCCGCCCTGACTGGGATACCATTCACCCTCGACGCCAGCTAGTGTTCGGTTGGAGAATGAAGTCCTCAAGTCGCCGCTGGTCTCGTCTCGTGAGATGTGGGCCAGCCACCTCCACGGACAGGACGATCGCCTGCATTGGTGGGTTTGTCGCGTTATCGCCGGACGCTGTCACCGTTGGACTCGCCGTTGACTTTTCTATTCGAGGTCCAACTGTCAGCGGATGTTCGGACAGGGACTAATTACGGCAGTTGGGTTCTGCCCCCCTGATACCGTCAAGGCATCGACACGACACAGGCCGAGGCCTGTTGCCGCCCCGCCGTCCTCGGGTCAGAAAGTACTTTCGTACTTGCGTATCCGCACACACCAGATGTCAGATGGTACAGATGGTAGCGTACCCAGCTCGCGGCATCAACGAGGAGCAATGATTCGTTCAGGTACATCTCAACTGCAACAACCCGCACCAATATGCGGTAGGTGCAGGTGCCTGATCCTCGTATCTCTCTTCTGGCGGTGTACCGTGGCAAGGCACCGGTCTACACGGAGTACTTCGAAAATACGGATACAAGTACAGACTTGTACAACTCTGTCTTTCATTCTTGGAAGGGAAACAAGATAAGAAAAAATGAAAAGAAAAAAAGAAACAAAAAGAAGAAAGAAAAAACATCGCCTTTGCCTGGCACAACAACCAAGACCGCTTCTCATCCATCAGCCGGGAAAGCTACCTTGATGAGCAGACATTTATATGGCAGACGACCCCAACTGCGTCTCGTCAATCGCAGACCCGAAACATCACTGAATCATCTCGACAGCCAGTTCATCCGCTCAATGTTGAAGACACACGGAACAATAGAACCTGCAGGCCTTTAAAATGAAAAAAAAAAAAAAAAAAAAAAATCGAGGCCCGACGGCTGCCTCGATTACAAAGTCGAAATCTCCACCTGGGTCCTAACAAGTCCGACTAAGCCTCAGCCAAATCGTGCAACATACAAGGTGAATTTCCAGCTGTGGCCAACCGCCGTTGAAGAGGACGAAAAACCAAGTCGAAAAAAAAAGAAAGAAAGACGAACAATAACGGCTAAGCTCGATTCATCCTCAAGGGCGTCAGTGGTTGGCCCACGTGAAACACCCACATATGCATGACACCCCGCAAGGTGAGCAGCATAGCCTCAGAGGGATGAGATACAGCCTCATCTTCAATGGCTCATAAGTAGCGCGGCAACCGAGTTCCCCCAACGACAAGATCTCAAGTTGATCTCAAGCAACAAGTTGCCAAGACCATACAAGACAGACAGACAGACAGACAGACATATGACGGACATCAGCATAGCAAGATCCTCTTTGGTTTGGACCCTCCAAGGAGTTGCGGCGGCAACGAAAACCCCTGAAGACGCAATTCAGGCAGTCATTCAGAGGATCCCACCCGACACTAACGCGCAAGACCGGGCGGCCAACGCGGTGGACTGCCTCTCCTTCGAACACTGGCAGCACGCCCTCGCCAGCAACTTCCAGGACGCCGGGGAAGAAACCCAGGATGCATACCGACTCGTCAACATCGCCCTCGCCGTATCGTTCCTCCGAGAAGCCAGTCGGCAAGGCCACCACGCCACCCCCGATGATCTGACACGTTGTTGGGACCTCATCCGAGGAGCCCTCACCACCAGTGACAGGTCGACCCGGCATCTCTTCACCGCGTCGCGCAGTGCCCAGGGCTTTCTGGCCGTCCCCCTCTGCAGCATCATCCAAGCCGGCCGCATCCAAGAGCTCTTCCGCCTCCACGTCTGGCTCCCGGACGGAAAACGCGGGGACCACGCCCTCGCCCTCGCCCTCCACTCGCATCAGCCCTTCGCCCAGAGCTGGATCCTAGCCGGCGAAGGGAAAGACAAATCCTACCGCGTCGAGCCCGCAGGCAACCCCGACGAAGCCACCCACGCCGGGTACGCCCTCGTCTGGAACGACGGCAAGAGCCGCGACGCCGCCTACAAGACCCATCAGACCCATTCCACCGTGGAGCACACCGGCCGCTTCTTCCGCGCCACCGAGACCGCGTCGGCCGTCCACACGCGGAACATGACCTACTCCATCCCCGCCAACGCCTTCCACGCCTCCGAGGTCGCCCCGGACGCCCTGCACGCCACCCTCTTCTTCTTCGACGCCCAGCGCGGCTTCGTGCAGGACGCCGGCGTCCTGGGCCCCAAGGACGGCACCTCCTTCACCCAGGTCCGCGACGACGCCACCGTGTCCCCCTCCGTCCTGGCCCGCACCGTCGACGCCATCCGCGCCTGGGAAGGCCTCGTCGACGAAGGCAGACAACACGCCCAGCGGTCCGAGTGGGAACACGCCCTGCGCGCCTTCAACGCCGCGCTCATCCTCTGCCAGTCCGACGCCGCCGCCGCCGCCGCTCGGGGGGAGGGGGAGGGGGAGGAGGAGGCGTTGTTCCCCAACGTCGCGCTCTACAGGCAGCGCGTCATGGGCGAGCTGGGAAAGACGAATCGGCGGTTCGGCCGCTACGAGACGGCCACGCAGATCCTCGAGCACGCGGTGGCCGAGATGGGGCCCAGCGCCCACCGCGTCGAGCTGAGCGGGGAGCTCGGCGTCAATTGCCGCCACATGAACCGGCTCGAGGACGCCCGGCGCGCTTTCGAGCACCAGTACGACACGGCGAAACAGCTGGGTCTCGAGACGGAGATGTGCAGGGCGATAGGGAACCTCGGCATGGTCCATTACCAACTTGCGCAGCGCGACGGGGACGGGGACGGTGGCCTCCTGGACCTCGCCATCCGGGAGCTCGAAGAAAGAGTCGCCACCGCGCGGAGACTAAGACGGCAGCACGAGAAGAACGAGAACGACGTGCCAACAACAACACAGGGGCCGTCGTCCGACCCGGCGCTCCTCAGCCTCCTCAAGACCTGGGAAACCATCGGCCTCGCCCGCCTGTCCACCTGCCACTACGCCCGCGGCGCCGTGGACCAAGCCGCCCTCTCCGCCCTCGAATCCCTCCGGATGACGCACGACTCCTCCGACGCCACCGTCAAAGCCATGTCGCGCTTCTTCTACGGCCGCGCCCTCCTCCGCCTCAACCGCCGCAAGGAGGCCCTCAGCCTCTTCAACCTCCCGGGGACCTGCTCCCCCGCCATCGCCCTCGCCAAGGAACCCTCCGACGAGCACCGCTCCTACCTGCGCGAACTCGTCGCCGCCGGCGCCGACATGGACATCGTCGACGAGCAGGGCTACACGGCGCTCGACCACGCCGTCTTCAACGCCGACGTCGAGGCCGAGGCCCTCGTCCTCCAAGGCCTAGCCAAAAACGCCGAGACCAAGATCGCGGGACGCCGCTCCGAGGCCAGGCTGCGCAAGGGGTACCGCGAGTTGTTCCAGGACCTCATGCGCCCCGTGCTCCTCAGGCGGGAGAGGCACTGCCTGCGCGACCTGAGGCGCGCGTACGCGGACGCCCTGGCGGCGGATGACGCCAAGAGGGCCATGTTTGACGGCATGTCGTTCCTGCCGTGGCCGGAATTCGCCGCCCTCGGCCGGTTACCTGGACACCAGGACGGGCTCCGCCGAAAGTCGGTTCCGGGGCAGGGACCCGGGGTGGAAGACCTGGCGGCGGACGTTGTCATCTTTATTTCCTACAGGTGGATCAACGAGACACCAGGTGCCACGTCGCCCGATGACGAGAACCACACGCAGTACCAGCGGATGAAACGTGCAGTCGAGGGATACCTGCAACTTCACCCGTCGGTGGATCCTCTGAAGCTGGGCATATGGATGGTAGGCTATGCGCATCTATCTCATGTTTCCCCCAAAACAAAAGCTGACGCTTTCCATCCCAGGATCATGCATGCGTTGACCAGGAGGATCCAAGCCTCGGGGTCGCCGCCCTCCCCATGATTATTGCGCAGTGCGATGCCATGATCAGCCTGGTGGACGACCAGTACTACAAGCGTGGTTGGTGTGCGGTGGAAGTGCTCATGGCCCAGACATTGAGGAACTCGTACGGAAACCATCACTGGTATGAGCAATTGTGGTTGCCGGCAGCCGAGTCGGGCGACCACCTTGGGGGAGGCGGTTGGCACCTGAGAGAAGGGGCGAATCAAGATATTGTGATGAAGGATAAACTGTTGACGTACGAGGAAGACCGCTCCAAGGTCGTGTTTCTGGAAAGGCAGAGCAAACTGCTGGGATAAGTGAAGATGAGAAAGACTAAGACATGCACGGATGCGATACCATTTGTGACCCCTGCTTACACATTCGTTCCCCGAACTTCCCGTCTAACCATACTGCAGTTGTATTGCCCAATGCCCACCGTGGGCTGGCTACCTCTTACTGCCACCCTCAAAGCGCTTCGTTGATTTGACGAAAGGACATGGGGTGGATCACACGGTCCCGTAGATGTAGATGGCGGAGAACAGAAAGGGGGAACCAAGTGCCGTCGTCCAGTGTCATGATTTGGCGATGCACTTTGAGTGGCCGCGTCGAGCGACGCCTGGCAACCTCCCTCCAAGCCTCTTCGACTTCTTCCGTGATGACTAGCGTCCAGCTGCACAGCAAGGTGATAGTCACTTATTGTAGAACAACGGCCCCATTAGCCTCGATCTTCAGTCTCGTCGTGGGGGATAGGTAGATTATTGTCGGCTCACGTACCTTCGCCGGTGTCCTTATCGTCGAATTGGTAACGGAACACACAACCCATGTCATCCTCTGCGCCGTTCCAAAGCTCCAGAATGCGGAGGCTGTCTATGGTCAAGGCCACAGTAGCGGCGCCCCGTAGCAGGCGAAGGATCATTGGGTCGGGAGTATCGCGTGCGCCGCACTGCAGATCGCTGGCTGTGAGGGCCAGGGACCGCAGCTTTCTCCAAGGCGGACCGGTAAGAGGGACGGGCGGAGACTGCGGAGACGAAAAGTAGTTGAAGAAGCCCCGGGCATCGGCTACAAAGGAAACGGACAGATGCTCCAATGCCGGTAGGTGACGAGTGCAAGCCGCCAACGCTCGTCCGATGCGCCCGGCTTCCCGATACCTATGAATGATGGAATATAAGGATTGTTTCAGTCCTATAATGTGCTTGTCGTTATCCTCGAAAATGACCAGTTCGCGAAGCGTATCCGGAAGAGCGGATGTGAAAAAGCGGTTGTAACCTGTCGGAGGGCAGCTGTCAGCGGGGAGAACGAGGCATGAGGCGTGAGGCGTGAGGCATCCTGCGATGGGGAAGACAAGACGCACGTCCGACCGTGGTCGCAAATTCAGTGGCCTCGTGCGGCTCAAGATGGATTCGCTGTAAACCGCTGAGGTGGTGGCCCGCCAAGGACGCGAGGGCTTCTAGGCTGATTTGGCGAAAGCTCTGGCGTCGCACGAGCAGCGTTGTTACAACGTCCACAAAGGCTCTCTTGTCCCGCGGGACAATATCGAGACCAGGGTCAAGGCCATAGAGCCGCCATTTGTTAAGAAGAGTCCACCCCCGATCACTTCTCACGCGTGGACCTATGCAGTTGATGTGGCGGAGAGGACGTGGAGATGAAGGCGGCGGCGTCTGCAGGGTCGGAAGGGCTGAGGAACCGAACTGGTGGCCAGGTTCCGAGTAAGGGTCATGTGCAAAGTTGTACCAGGGGAAGGCGTGCTGCGAATCGCTTGGGGAGTATGCTGATAACTCGAGGGTCAGGTCTGGGTTCATCTCGTCGCGGTCGCGCGGCTTCTCCTAGTCGACCAGAGCGCGAAACAGTTCATTGACCATGTTCATACCGATGGCATTGTTCTGCTGACTCTCCGACCAGCGCTCAGTTTCCTCGCATGACGGACAGTCATAAGACAGGAGCTCGATGCGTAGCCATATATGTCTGACGAGCTTTCGTTTTCTGGGCTCTTGAAGGATACGGCTGAAGTCCAATACACGACGCGGGGAGAGTAGAATCGTTTTGAAATGTTTCTTTTCGAAGAACTCCTGCCAGTTTCGAGAGACGGCGGCGTACGCGGCGGTGGATATGGGGTGACGGGACAAGACTCGCCATATCATTTCCTTGACCTCGAGTGGGCAAGTGTTCCAACAGGCCATGGCGAATGTTGAGGCTGTTGTGTATGTGTGTGTTGATTACGAGCCAAGTATTCAGAAATCAGGATAGGCAGTGCTGTTGTTGGAGACGAAGAAACAAAGAAGAGAAGTGCGGAAACGAACAAGTGAAGAGATGAAGATGTGAGTAAACGAAGAAGCGAAGAAGCGAAGAACGAAGAAACGAAGAAGACGGAGGTGAAGAACGGAAGAAATACGAGCAGCGGTCCTACTCGTAATGTTCCTCTTCTTACAGGTAGCTCAGCCCTTGAACCCTTGAACCTTCGACGCACCCCGATAGTACCAATGCAGAGGAAAGAGCAGAGGGTGTCAAGCCACTCGTTCCTTCCATGCTTCCATCTACCTAAGGTATATGGTCTACCTTATGACATCATTGCTAGGTACTTGAGGTAGGTGTTCCTGCATAAGGTAAGGTAAGGAAGGTACCTTATGTAGCACCTTGATGGATTAGCAGTGTCCCCTGACTCCCATGTTGGGATGTTGCGGAACTTGTGGTGTATCATAGCCGTTGAGTCAGTGACCCTTCGGAGCCTAGGATTGGTGGGTCCGAATTCGCCCCGCGTTTGATTACTATCATTAAAGGAGCCTCGGCTTATCACCCTCGGGTTCTCCCCAGAAAGTTCAACTGCCAGCCCCAGTCCTCCTTCCCCTTCCCCCACCATCCACTAACTGAGGAGATACCCACTAATATCACCACTATCCACTAACATCCACCGTCGTCCAGCGACGTCCACCAATGCCCATGGGCCCCGCCGTCCCGGTGTCAACTCCCGAGCGGAGAGGTGGCGCATCACAAGCCTGGGCTTCGGTTCGCCTCCACCCGAGCCTCTGTCTTTTTGTTCTTACCATGCTCAATTTCAGATCCCATTTTCACTTTCCTCTCCTTCACCCCCCCGACCATTGCTTCCTGGCTCTGTTATAATATTTGTTCAAAGATTTCCTCGTCCAATTCGTCCAGAAGCCCCAACCGATAGACGATAGAGGCCTCGCGCAATCGCCACCTTACTTTATCTACCATGTCCATCGAGCGCATTTCTTCTATTGCGAGGCACCTCAATCCGGGGTCTGCCCTTAACAAAATGTGCGTCATCCTTTCCTCCTTTTCCTCCAAAGAGACCAAGAGGGTCCCCAACTAACAGCCTCTTCCACCAGCCAGTCCAAAAACCCCGATGACATCGTAATTACCCTCGCCATCCGCACCCCCCTCACCAAGGCGAAGAAGGGCGGCTTCAAAGACACCTCCCTCGAATACCTCGTCTACGCCCTCCTCAGCCAAGTCCGCCAGCGGTCCAACATCGACCCGGCCCTGGTCGAGGACATCTGCCTCGGCAATGTCTCCGACGGGAAAGCCGCCTACAAGGCCCGCGCCGCCGCCCTGGCCGCCGGCTTCCCCAACACCGCCAGCGCCTCGTCCGTGAACCGCTTCTGCTCGTCCGGGCTCAAGGCCACCGCCGACATCGCCAACGCCATCTCCGCCGGCAACATCGAGGTCGGCATCGCCATCGGCGCCGAGTCCATGACCGTCGGCGGCGACCGCCTCGAGAAGCCCTTCGACGACGCCGTCGTCAGCGCGAGCCAGGAGGCCGCCGACTGCATGCAGCCCATGGGGTGGACGTCTGAGAACGTCGCCCGCGATTTCGGCATCTCCCGCGAGCAGATGGATGTCTACGCCGCCGAGAGCTTCCGCCGAGCCGAGGAGGCGCAGAAGCAGGGCCTCTTCGATGATGAGATTGCCGCCATTGTGACCAAGTTGAAGGATGCCGAGGGCAACGAGAAGGAGGTTACCGTCACCCGCGACGAGGGTATTCGCCCGGGTACCACGGCCGAGGGCTTGGGCAAGATCCGGGCGGCGTTCCCGCAGTGGGGGAATGCCAGCACTGGCGGTAACTCGAGCCAGGTTACTGATGGAGGTGTGTTCTTTTTCTTTATTTTTTCTTTCTTTCTTTCTTTTTCTTTCATTTTCGTTCCTTTTTTCCCCCTTTTTTCTCTTCTTTTCCCTAACCAAATACTGACCTCACTAGCCGCCGCCCTCCTCCTCATGAAACGCTCCACCGCCGTCCGCCTCAATCAGCCCATCCTCGCCAAGTACGTCGCCTCGACCGTCGCCGGCCTGGCCCCGCGCATCATGGGCATCGGCCCCTCCGTCGCCATCCCCAAGCTCCTCTCCCAGGTCGGCATCGCCCCCGCCGACGTCGACGTCTACGAGGTCAACGAGGCCTTCGCCTCCATGGCCGTCTACTGCCGCGACAACCTCGGCCTCGACTGGGCCAAGATGAACCCGCGCGGCGGCGCCATCGCCCTCGGTCACCCGCTCGGTGCCACCGGCGCGCGCCAGGTCGTCACCGGTCTCAGCGAGCTGCGGAGGCAGAAGAAGAAGGTCCTCGTCGTGAGCATGTGTATTGGCACGGGCATGGGTATGGCCGGGTTGTTTATCAACGAGGCTGTGTAAGAGAATGTGTATTTTGCTGGTCCTGTACGAAATAAATCGACTTTAATTATAGTCGTTCAGTCTATATACGTGATGCCCGGGAAAGAACTCGTCTGGGATTTGCGTAATGTTGGCCTAGTAGTAGGGTATGTCTATTATTTCTTATTTCTATATATCTGTATACTCCGTTGCTAATGACCTTTTCGGGCGCCAAAGTCATACCTAGTTTACGGCGTCGTGGCAAACGCAACGAATGCTGCTACCGCGTTGTGAAGTCTTTCCCATGCGAACCATGTTTCTTGTCCCAACAGCAAAGTGTAATTCTTGGCGCCTCTTTCCGCGTGATGCTCATCATACCTTATCCAACACGAAAAACAATAATGCAACCGCTCACCCAAACCTCGCATTGGTGATGCTATGCTCGTACTCCGTCATCTTCAGCGCCTCCTGGACATCCGCGACGAAATGGCTCGGCCCGCCCACCAAGTCCATGATGCCCGACCTCCGCATGATCTTCCACACCTGGTGCCTCTCGTCCGCCGGGCCGCGGCTGAAATACACCCGCACGCCCCTCTCGCGGTAGTTGGCCACGATCTCCTTGAGCACCTGCGCGCCGGACCCGTCGAGGGACGTGACGCCGTGGATGTCGAAGATGACGTTCCGGTTGCTCTCCTCGTGCCGGATGCGCGGGAGCGCGGGGTGGGCCTCGTTGGTGCCGTAGAACTCGAGCCGGCGCAGGCGGTTCTTGAGCTGCCCCGTGTTGGCGAAGGTCAGCGGCTCGGGGATCTTGACGATCAGGCAGCCTTCGAAGAACTCGAGGCGGTCTGGGTTCGCTTCGGCGTTCTCGAAGCGGTGGGTGCCTGGGATGCGGCCTAGGATCTGGATCCGCGGGCGCGTGGAGTGGCGGATGACTTGCAGGACGGAGAGGCCGACGCCGATGGCCATGCCGAGGGTGAGGGAGTAGAAGATGGTGGCGACGAAGATGGTGACCATGAGGCCGAGCTCGCTCCAGCCCCGGATTTTGAGGAAGAAGGCGATGTCGTGGGGGGCTTCCTCGAGGAGGGACCAGGCGACGACGGAAATCATGGAGGACAAGACTGGTTTCTGGTGCGGGGTCAGCAGGATGAAGTGGAGGTGAAAAGGCACAGAAATGTATAGGAATGCACATAAAAAGCACAGCATAGCAACACGGCACGTACCGGTAGGTAATAGAGATAGGGAAGGAAGAAGAAAATGACAGAAAAAGCAAAGCCGCTGAGGAAGATGGCGCTCATAGGACTCTTGCCTCCGGTCTGCCTGTTCAGCTTGCTCTTCGCATAGCCGCCGAACGCGGGCAAGCTCATGAAGCAGCCGCCCACAAGGTTAGCAACGCCCAGGGCCACGAGTTCGCGGTTCGGGCTGAGCTGCATCTGGATGTGATCCGAGGGCCCGAGACTCTTGGCGGCGATGGACGACTCGAAGAAGCCGAGAAGGGCAATGAGAAAAGACGTCGGCATGGCTTCCCGGATGAGGTGGAACTGGGACGGCTGGAACGGCCACCGGAAGGTAAACAGGTGCCCAGACGCCGCCCTGACCTCGCCGAGGACATCCAACCCCTGGCTCTCCCAGTCCAGCTGCCACGAGAGGATGATGGAGACGAGGACGACGAGGAAGCGGTCGGGGATGTAGGCGACGCCGGGGTACCGCGGCTGCATCCTGATCTTGACCTGGCGGAGGACCATCATGACGACGAAGCTGACGGCGGCGACGGCGAAGGTGAGCTTGTGGACGCGGCCGAGGTGGCGGACCAGAAAGTTGAGCTTCTCGGCCGTGCTGCCGTGCTTGACGCCGGCGTCCCCGGCGTAGCGCGCCAGCCCCAGCTCGGGGATCAGCTGGTCGACGAAGATGACGAAGCCGATGGCGGAGATGAAGCCGCGGAGGAAGGGCCGGCTGAGGACGCTGTCGAGGAAGCCCAGGCGCGCGATGCCGGCGATCAGGATGGTGGCGCCCGCCAGGCCGGTAACTACGCCGCAGATGCGGGCTTGGAGCATGTCGTCGTCGTCGTCTGGGCCGGAGCGGAGGTTGCTCTTGACGACGGAACCGACGAGCAGTGAGCCGGCGGCTTCCGAACCTACGAGCATCCGCGGACAGCTGCCCAGCAGGCCGTAGATCAGGGGGTTTATGGCGAAGGCGTAGAGGCCGTTGATCGGGGGGACGTGGGCGAGGTTCTCGGCGAAGGAGAGGACCATGGGGAGGTAGACGGAGGCGACGGTCAGGGAAGCTGTAAAGTCGCCTTTGAGGTAGGACCACTTGTACTGGGGCATCCAATTTAGGAACGGGAGGTAGTAGGACATGTACCTGGAGGGAAGACATGGGTTAATCTTGGTACAGACGTGGATGAGCGGGAGGACGGTAGGGGAGGGTAGGGAAGGGAGCGGGTTATCTCCATACATCCGAGCATTGGCATCGAAGCCGGCTTGCTCAGCCAATGCCTGAGAAGTGTGTGCACTCCTCGTCTTCATCTTCTTGGCCAACTTTCTCCTCCAGTCACGGTTGCCAGACAGCGTGTTCACGACCGAGTCGATGGGCCCATTAGTCGAAGACGACTGGGCGTTATCTCTCCCGAGGAGACTGCTCGACACCGGACTCGGGACGCGGGGGGAGAAGGTGCCATGCGAGCAGGGGCCCTCGTGGACGGCAACGTCTGGGAGCGCGGTCTGCAGCAAGGCGGTCGATTCGGAGGGGTCGGCGGACATGGATCGAGAGGGCATGCTGGGCCCTGGCTGGGAGCGGTCGGAGGGGTCGGACGAAGATGCGCGGGAGACGTCGCCGCGGGAGCGATGGGAGGCCATTGTTGGGGAAGTCTTGGAGGGTGCGCGAAGATGCCGAAAAAAATCAAATCTTCCTTCAGAAGGACGATGCTGATGCTGACGCTGATGCTGATGCTAGGGAGCACAAAGCAAGCGAGACCGGGATGGAACGGACGGGGTGGACCAGAGGCATCTGGTGGAGGTGAAGAACCGAGCGAGAATCAAGAATCCAAAGACAAAGACGAAGCTGCGGGCTCTATCTATTCGGTGCCAAAGCCATTACGGAAGGCAAAGAGGAATCTTCCGCGTAAGGGGAAGGAGAGTGAAGAGCGTGATGGGATAGTCGAGGTCGAGGTCGAGGACGAGGTGCGCAGAAACGGTGAAGGGAAGAGAGACAAGACGAGGGCAATGTCTCAATAAATTCCGTATTCGTACTCAGGCCATGGGACTCTCGCCGGTGAATGTGGGTCCCTGATGAGCTAATCGGCCCGCCAAAACTGTCACATGCAGGAATTCATTGGCTAAGAGACTTGCTTGGTAGAAGCTTAGTACAGTAAGGTACCCTCTCTGCTGAACTCGTCTGTATTCGTAGAAGGTGAGTCAGAAGTGATACCGACGGGATACTTCGTACACCGAGCTCACCTTTTCACTTTCTCACCGTTTTTCGCGGTTTTCACCTCGAGTTTTATCCGTGGCAAAGTACAACTCCTAAAAGTCCACGAACTACGGGTGATAACGGGTCGGTTTTGGAACCCCGCGAGGTTCCAAGTTCCAATCTTCTAGTCTGTGGCTTCGTCAAACTTTAACTGAAACCGACCTTCTTCGAGAACAAAATCTCTAGTTATTTCCGTCATCTCCTAAAGTCAATTGCTGGCCTTGGCCCTATTCGGAGAGAACACCGGAAGTGTAATTACAACTAAACAGAGGGCAGCAGAGGGGCCATGCGATATTGAATACGCGCTGGCAGGTGCATATTAAGCGGACGGCCAAGCAAGGAGGCGATCAAGGTGCTGGATCTCCATTTTAAGACCAACATTTCAATCAGCTTGATGCCGGAGAACCTCAGGCTGAGAATCTGATTCGTTACTAATCCATTGATCACACACAGTCTGCACCCGAAGTGCTGGATGCGTGCTTACGTGAGCAAGCTCCGCGGTGCCTCCTATAGTACGTACCTTACCTTACCTTCTGCCACGATCGTCTACGCAGACCAGGCCGTGGTCACCACCACTGGAATCTGACCGAACCGCCGAACCATCCACCTGCATAATAAGGCTCGCTACAGTTCCTAACCTGCGTGTGACGATGAGAACGCTGGATTTGGCTGCGCGGAGCTGTCAAGGTGTTCTTCCTCCGTTGTCTCTCCTCCCAGCTGCTCCAGCTCCAGCTTGCGGCTTTCCTTGCCCTTCACATCGGCTCAACACTGCATATTTGCTCTCGTCACGTCGCCTCATGAGCAAACTAGCGACGACGCCATGCAGGAAGGACGCAGGAGATATGAAATGCAGACCATGGATTCGGCCGAGAAGGAGGCTCTACTTGCCACGTTGCGGCCGATGCTGGCGTACGGACCGGAGCAACGTTGCAGCGTCAAGGACGTTCTTGGCTCGGGTTGGATGGCCAGATACGCGATGCCTGTCTGTTGCTGTTCGTCATGTCAGCTTTATAAGACCATCTATGCTTAACTTCTAGCACATACGACCATACCCACTGGAAAACTCGGGATCCCGTCCGCTCTCCCCTAGATAAGCCAGTGAGGGCCGGATTAGTAGTTGGGTGGGTGACCACCAGCGAATACCCGGTGTTGTATGTTTTTTTCTCTTTTTTTCTTTCTTTTTTGTTCTTTTTTTTTTCTTTTTCTTTTTCTTTTTCCAATTCCTATTGGTTTCTGTCCTTGATTGTCTTTTAATAGGCATGGCAAGGAGGGCAGATTGGTATGTTCGTCCTGGCTTCATGGAGAGGTTGAATTATTCACTTAGTTGAGATCACCTTAATATCCCCCTGAACCACGTCAAACAAATCCCCTTCTCATGGCAAATTCAAAATCATTACACGTATCCATCAAACAGTTACTACACACACATGCAGAAAGATAGCCAGGCCCCCAAACTAGACGGCTTCCCGGTAATAGCATGAGAACATCGGTCCCATGTCTCGAGAGTCCGCCAATCCTGCCCCCTTGCTAGTGCACTGGGTCGGAACCACAGCATCTGCCCTAGAAGCTTCATGTTCCTTCCGTTCCACTTCCGCCAGCAGTCTCTTCACCCTCTCCTGGACACCAGCCTCCAGCGCCCTCTGCTCGAAAGCCCCGACATCATCAAACTCGTCCCTTTCCTCCTCATCCAACATGCCCCCTGACCGCCTATGGACGGCAAACCGCAACGGCGTCCTGCAAGCCTTGACCTTCCTCACGAAATCCCGCCTCCGGACGTGGTAGCGCACCGACCTCGCGCTCCAAAAATCCTTCGCCATCTCCCCCAACTCCTCCGCCCTGGCCGCCGCCAACCCCGCCGCGCTAACATCCACATTCGGATGCCTCTTCCACGTCCCGGGGGCGTAAACATAGCCAGGATCCCGCAACAACCCGCGCACCCAGTTCCGCACCGCCGCATCCACCGTCTCCCCCGCCATCCCGGGGACGACATGATCCACAAGCCCAACCCGCCTCGCCTCGGCAGCCGAAAGCGGCGTCATGCCCCGCAAGAGCCTCTTCGCCCCAGCGACCCCACACCTCCCCGTATACGACAGCGAATGGAACTCCGACCCATGCAGCCCCAGCGCGCGGTACGCCGGGTTGAGGACCGCCTCCTTGGCCGCGACGACCACATCACACGCCGCCGCGAGCGCCACGCCTCCCGCGGCGCAGTTCCCGCGGATGGCCGCCACCGTGAGGACGCCGCGCCGGGGGAGGTCGTCGAGGAGGAACTGCACCACGTCGTCGATGCGGTTGATGTTGCGCCACGACTCGGCGGCCGGGCCGGCCGCGCTCGCTTCGATGACGTTGAGGGCGATGCCGTTGCTAAAGTACGACTTGCCGCCCATGAGCACCACCGCGGCCAGGCGGCCGGCTGCTCGTCCCGCATCCTCCTCCCCGTCCGTACGGCGCGAGGCGACGACGTGGCGCAGCGCCTCGAGCAAGTGGCCGCACTGCGCCGCGCTCATGGCACCGTTGTAGAATTCGAAATGCACAAACGCGACGCGGCGGCCGCCCGGGACATGCGCAACGTCGACCCAGACTTCCTGGAACGTCGGGGACGGCGCCTTGGCAAAGTCGGGCGTCGCGCGCGGCACGCGGAGGTGCGAGAGCGTTGCGTCGTCCAGGAGGCCCAGGGCGCGGAGACCCGAGACGGCGGGGACCTTGGGCCACAGCGCGGCGTCGGCTTTGCGCTTGACGCGCCGGATGTGGGTGATCCAGACGGCCCTGCCGTCCCACGTCGCCACGCACACCGCGCTGTCTTCCCGACACGCCACGACGGAGCCCGGCCCGAACGGCTGACGGGAGACCAGGTCGGGGTCGCTCTCGACGAGGCCGCCGTAGACGTACAGTTTCATGCCGAAGAGGGGCGTGAGACAGCCCGGCTGCGAATCGGCGCATCGGATCCTGCGCGAGATTTCACGCGCCGTGTGGATGCCTACGTCAAAGTCGCGCTGCGCTGCTTGGAGTAAGGGCCGACGCCGCGTCTCGCCGCCGAGGAAAGGCGTCCGCAGAGTGACAGAGAGGACGCCGTACGCGGGCTGTGGGAGAAGATGAGGCGAAAGGGTGGGACGGGCAGCCTCGGCGGCCGGAGAGGAAGCCCGAGGCGAGGCTTCGGCCAAGTGGCGCTGTAGTCGCATCGTCTCTGCGACTCCGTAATCTGGTGAGGGAGGCGGCGTGTGGACGACGCCCACATGGCCGGACGCTGCGGCCGCCATGATGCGGTTCAACGCGGCCAGAGTAGCCGTCACGGCAGCCCGAGCGACGGCGCCACGATAGAGGCCGGATTTGGTGACGTCCGGGGCGTCAATGTCCAGAGGGAACTGCTCAAACGCCCAGACGGGCCCCGCATCAAACTCTTCCACCGCCTGAAGCACGGTGACGCCCCAATGGGAGCGTCCGTCTCGACTCAGCGACGTCGACTGGAGGAGCTTCTGCGGGTCCGGCTCCGAGCCGTCATCGCCCATGAGGACCCAGTCGAGCGCACTGGGCCCGGCATCTCCGGGCGGCCCGGGATGGATGATGAGCGTCAGGTACTCGTTGTAGATCTCGCGGGGTACGCGAGAGGTGAGAAAGGGGCAGATGATCAAGTCGGGCTTGGCCAGATTGGCAGCCTCAATCATCACAAGCTCGGACAGGGCATATTCGACAGTGACCGAGTGAACTTCTGAGAGTACGAGGAAGAGGCGCTGAGAGAGGGAGTTGTGCGCCGTGCAGAGAAACAGGATCTTCATTTTGGCGAGGTCGAGGGGTAGGGCCAAAGGTGAGAGTCCTTGTGGGATAGTTCTTTCCTCACCAACAGACTGCCCGGGCTGCCCAGGCCATGATATATAGACGAGACGAAGATTAGGACGGGTTGGTTCCAGGAGCCAAGTCCCCGTCCGTCGTCACGGAGGGGGCCGGTCTCCACTGTCCCCCCCGGGCCCATTCGCAAAAGCATTCGCAAAAGCAAAGGGGGACCAGCGTTCATCCCAAGGCATTGAATCATGTCTCACGTCCGAGAGGGAGGGGGGAATCCAAACAAAAAAAAGAAAAAGAAAAAAAAGACCATGTGCGCTGTCGAGGGGTCGTCGAATGAGAAAAGCACAAACGCTTCTTGATAACGCCGGATCGATGCCACCCTCCGGTACCTGCCTCCCTACCTCTTGGTGATGCAGCTCAAAGAAGCAACTGGGATGATATGATCCCGGACGAACGTACCACATTCTCGTGGTTGCTTGTCTGCCAGTGCCTCCTGGGACGTGGTGAGCATGTGGTGTGGATGGTGTGTACTTTGTGGAGGATCAGTGCAAAAGGGGACCGTCTAGGCTGGACGGAGTCCTTCTGGAGTGTGCATGGCATGGCATGCCGCATATTGCTTTTGCAGCTTTGCAGCTTTGGCTAATGCAGGACTAACTCGTAAGATATGTCCGCAAAAGGTTCATGTCGCAAAAAGAAAGCGTACACCAGGCACACCAAACACAGACACGCACATCGGACGCCATACCATGCTGCTAGTCGTCTCCCAATATTCGTCCTCGGATCGGGGCACGACCTTGTCGTACGAAACGGAGAAAGCCGTACATTGATTGCATGTGTTCATCACACAGCAAAGGCCTCCCTGACCCCCTCCCCCTCGTCCGGCGTGACGACAAACTCGCACAGTTCGCGGGCCAAGTCGGCCGTCTCCTCATCAATGCCAGCTTCGTACACCAGGTCCTCTTCGGCGAAGTGAATCCGCGACAGGGCCAAGATGTAGCGATGCGAGCCACCATACGCCATGGCCAGCTTGGCTTGGATGTTGACGGCGTCCGTGGTTTCGGGATCCGTGACGAGCCGGTGCAGCAGGCGGACCGTCTGCTTGATCAGCCTGTGTATCCCCTCCCAATCGTCGCCCAGGTCCCGCGACTCGTCCCTGAGGTCGGGCACCGTCGTCTTCTTGCCCTGCGCCGGGTCGTCTCCCGCCGCGGCAATGATGGCCGTAGTAGTGGGTTCAGACACGCCGTACAGCTCGTCCACGAGGCCAGCCAACATGGCGACCAGCCGCGGGATGGCGTTGACGTGGTGCGCGATCTGCAGCGCGCCGAAAGGCGACTGCGCGAAAGCCGCGAGCGCGCGCAGGGCCGCGAGCCCGACCGTATGCACCTGTACGGGGGTGGTGGCCTCGCGGGGCGGATCGACGAGGTTGCAGGTGAGTTTCTCCACGACCATGCGCGCCGTGCTCTCCGCGTCGCGTTCCTCCGAGACGGGGCCGATGGAGGTGGGCAGCACGGATGTGCAGAGGAGGTCCATCATGCCCAGGACGTCGTCCAGGTGCTGGCCCGGCGTCAGGAAGATGAGGACCAGGTCCAGCGGGACCATGCGCCAGAACTCGGCCTGCCGGGTTTGGGGGGTGCCTTCGTCCGTCTTCTGCGTTACGCTTGTGACGCTCGCCATGCCGATCAGGCGGAGGAGCGACAGGAGGAAAGTGGTGTCGATCTGCTGTTCGACCTCAGCTAGGACGGGATCGCTGGCTGCGGCGCTCCCGATGAGTTTGAAGCGGTTGAAGCGAATCTCTGCCACTTTATAAATGGACTTCTCAAGGGCGGGCACGATATTGTTAATAAGGTACGGGGCCACTGAAACGGTCTGCAACTGCAGAGTGAAGGCCGCGAGGGATGCCAGGTCCCAGATGGGCCTGTACAGTTTCTCCTCCAGACATTGGTGCCACATGTCGACGATAAGTCCGGTGAAGTCGATGAGGAGCGAGTAGGGATTCCGAGGGTTGCCGAGGAGAGGCAGTCGCTGGAGGATGATGGCGGCGAAAGAGGTCGTTGGGTCAGAGGGGTAGGCGTAGCGCGTGAGTGTCTCGAAGGTCGGCGGTTCTCCGTGCAAAGAGGCGTGGTCCAAGACGAGCGGAAGAAAGTCGAATGGGAGAGCATGGAAAGGGATGGGAGCAGCGGCGTACGAAACGGAAGATGGTGCGGCTGCCTCGCCGTCCTCCATCATGGGAACATCGGCCTCGTGCGTTTCCAACGGCATGACGGGACTCTCCAAAGCCGGGCGCTTTCGCTTACCCTTGGAGGGCGTCCGCTCAGCCGGTGGGACAGCCACAGCACCGGCATCTCTCGGCTTGCCTCGTCCCTTGGTGGGACTGACAACCATATCCATGTCGTCGAACCCGTCCGCAACGCCCCATGTTTTGTTCGCCTTCCTCGGCGTTGTTGTTGTCCCCGTTGTCGTCGTCGTCGTAGTTGTACCCGCACGGGCGGTGGTAGTCCCGGTCTGTTGGGGGACGGCCGCCGTTGCATCCTTCTGCCTCGCCCGCGTGCTTGCCTCTTGGAGATCCCGCTGTAAGAATTGGAGCTCGGTGGTCGCGTTCTTCTCGGCGGCAAGGGCCTGCTCGACGAGCCTCTGGTTCTTCGCTTGTTGTTCGGCATTTTGCTTCTTCAGTCTCTCCAACTCGGCAGTGTGCTCTTGCTGCGTCTTGGTCGAATTGGCGCGTATGATGGAGACTTCGCCCTTGGCGGTGTAGAGCTCCGACTCGAGAGCCCTGAGTCGCTGTTGCAGGGCTGCGACGACGTCGTTGCCGGCGGTGGCGCTGGAAGGGGGGATGCGCGGTGCTTGGGAGGCCGGTTGGGCGGTAGAGGCGGGAGGCGGCCGAGCAAAGTGACCTTGTGGAGGGCGATGAGGAGGTCGGTGGGGTGTGGAGGCTGGTGGCAGTATGCGGTTGGGGCCCGGAGGACGAGAGTAGGAGGAGGGAGGAGGAGGAGGAGGAGGAGGAGCGGTGCGTGTGTTCGCGTTCCACTGCTGCTGCGAAGGAGAATGACGCGTGGGAATGGCACGCGGCTCGTCAAGAGGCCTGCTCAACTGTTCTCTCTGTGGATGAGCAGGAGGGGCAGCAGGCGGCGGAGGAGGGGGAGGAGGAAGGGAAGGTTTGGATTTGCCTGGGCCGACGGGCGCGGGAGGGATCAAGGCATTGATCAGCTCGGAATCGTCGAGATCGTCGTCCTCGATTTCGATAACCTCGTAGGAACCGGGACCCTGGGGTTGAGCCCGAGCCCGAGACCGAGACCGAGCCTGGGCCTGGGTCTGTACGTGAGTGCTTCCATGAGATCCGTGGACCTCGGGCTGTGCCTCTGTTTGTGGTTTTGCCTGTGCTTTTGGCTGTGCCCGGGTCTGTGCCTGGGTCTGGGCTTGCGTCTGGGCTTGAGTCTGGGCTTGAGTAAACTGGACGATGGCATAGTCTTCGAGCTCCTGGAGAGTGTCCGGGTTGAGGTCGTCGAAGCCATCGTCCGAGTAATCGTCCATGTCCTCCGAATAACGGGAAGAAGACTTTTTTATGGGTCCATTGATGGAAGTCGGGTATGGTTTAGGTTGAATCGAAGGAACGTGGGCGATATTGTTGTGGTATCGTGGTCAGGGTCGTTTTCTGGTGAATGTTGAGGGCGGAACAGGACAATGGCTTATCTTTTATCTTATCTTATCAACCCCCAGAACACATCGTGGACACGAAAATGGTGGGGCCAGCCTCCAGGCGTCATCTTACCTAAGGTAGGGTACGGAGTAGGTAACAAGCTTTACTATAAGCTGCGATAACAAGGTCTTATCTAATCAGCCGCATTCGGATCTGTTCAAGATTCCGTATCCCGCATACTTCGGTAATGAAACTCTAGGTAGTGTAACCACATTTGTGGCTTGTACCTGTAGGTATCATTGCTTGTAACTGCTCAGCCACAGTTGTTAGAAACTGGGACACGGATAACTTGGAGGGTACGTGAGTGCTTAGGTGTGGAGGTTTTTCACAGGCACTGGTTTTGGTTGGACCTGCCGCGACCTCACAAACGTCGCTGTCCAGCTTCCAAACAGCGGATTACCAACTTCACCTCCCACTTTCCACCTCCCACCTCCCAGTTCCCTTCTCTCTACCATTTTTTTGTTTTCCCTCCCCCGCCTTTTCGTCACCGAGACGAGCATTTCCGTCTCCCCCCCCTTGTCGCTGCGATCTTGCCGCAGCTGGGCTATTTGCACACCTTCTACACTAATCTAATTCATTCGTCCCCATCGCAAAAGCCTTCACTTTTCGAAATAGCCTCCATTCGTCATCCGAACCTTCCGGCCTGACGTGACACGCGCGAATCCCATCGACCATTGCCCGTGTCTGCGCCATCTTCGTCCGACGCTCGCTTATTTCTGTTGACATTCGTCGACTGCGCTTGCCGCTCGAGAGCTGACGAACCGAACCGACCCGTCGTTACGTTACGGACAAACCTTTGACGACTCATCGTCCCACGCCTACACCCCCCTTCTCCCATCTCCTCACCCGCCGGGGCCCATCCTTCCCACGATGCCGCGTGCCAAGCGAGGGGTTCGATTCCCTCACAAGGCCAACAACAATGGCCATACTTCTGACCGCCGCTCGAGCTTCAGCGACTTCAGCGAAGAGGGTTCCTCTCCAGCAAAACCCAGATCGTCTTCTCAGTCGCAACATCAGACCCTCCACGAGATCAAAGAGGTACGGCTATCTTCTTCTTCTTCTTTTCTTTCCCATGCTGACTTGCCTCCCTCACAACAGCGTCAGGCTCCCGAAGACGAGAAACGCGCCGCGTACGAGAAGAAAAAGGCCAACTTCATCACCCGCACCTTCTGGACCTTTGTCATGGTCGCCGGCTTCCTGACCGCCCTCTTCATGGGCCACATCTACATCATCTGCGTCATCACCGTCATCCAGGTCGTCTCCTTCAAGGAGGTCATTGCCATCTCCAGCGTCCCGACCCGCGCCCGCAAGCTACGCCCCTCCAAGAGTCTGAACTGGTACTGGCTGGCCACCACCATGTACTACCTCTACGGCGAATCTGTCATCTACTATTTTAAGCACATCGTTCTCGTTGACAAGGTTCTCCTGCCTCTGGCCACCCATCATCGCTTCATCAGCTTTCTTCTCTACATCTTTGGTATGTACCTCTGCTGTCCTGGAAAGGGTCTGCATCCTGGGACCATCTGCTTACCTCCGCCCTCCGCCCTCTTTACCTCGCAGGCTTCGTCTTCTTCGTCACCACCCTTCACGCCGGCCACTTCAAGTTCCAGTTCACCCAGTTCGCCTGGACGCACATGGCCCTGTACCTCATCGTCGTCCAGGCTCACTTCGTCATGAATAACGTCTTCGAGGGCATGATCTGGTTCTTCCTCCCCGCTACCCTCGTCATCACCAACGACATCTTCGCCTACGTCGTCGGCATCACCTTTGGCCGCACTCAGCTCATCAAGCTGTCGCCCAAGAAGACGGTGGAGGGTTTCCTCGGCGCGTGGCTCATGACCCTCGTGGGGGGCGTCATCACCACAAAGATTCTGATGCACTCCAGCTACTTCATCTGTCCTGTCAATGTAAGCCGTAGCTCTCCGCCGTCTCCCTCTCCCTCTCCCTCTCCCTTTCCCCTCCGCTGACCGGCGACCCGCCCTGTAGGACCTCGCTGCCAATATCTTCACTGGCCTCGAATGCGAGCCCAATCCCGCTTTCCTGCCCAAGGTGTACAGCCTTCCCCACTACTTCTTCCTACCGCCCAACGCCAACCTCTCCTTCACCATCACCCCTATCCAGCTCCACACCCTGGTTCTGGCCACCTTCGCTTCCCTCATCGCGCCCTTTGGCGGCTTCTTCGCCTCTGGCTTGAAGCGGACCTTCAAGATCAAGGATTTCGGCGACTCCATCCCTGGCCATGGCGGCATGACCGATCGCATGGACTGCCAGTTCATCATGGGCTTCTTCACCTACGTATACTACCACACTTTCATTGCCATCAATAAGGCCGCCAGCCTCGGTACTGTTATGGAACTGGCCATCACTGGCTTGACCCTCGACGAGCAGAAGGAGCTGATCCGGGGCATGGCACGCTACCTCTCCAACCAAGGTGTTGCTCATAGCGATGAAGTAGGTCCCTCCTTTGTCCTCTCCCCGGCTTTTCGTGCAAACGTCGACATGAAGATGCTGACTTCTCTCGCAGCTTTACGAGTGCATCGATAAGTCTCTGGCGCAGGGTCTGTCATGAAGACGTTATCTGAGTATAGTTCAGAGAGATTGGGGATACTTCTGAACACATGCATGCACCTTTATGCGAGTCACGAACGGAAAGAGTGTCAGTACAAAATGGTGCTTCAATGTGGGTGAAGAGGCATTGGGTAGGGGCAGCCTCTCACGGGATATGCAGCCAACGTTTATCCTCCGCGACCCGGAACCAAAGGAAACGCACTCTCTTTGTGTGCTACTATCCAGACGGCTGTCTTGGGATGCGATGGGATCCGGCTGGTTGGTCTAAGGCCCCTTTTTTGTATCATACATATCCAGCATCGTCGACTTGGCGTGTCACCGACTCGGGCTGCAACGGCCATCTTTCTATAATTCTCTTACATGTAACATCCATTTCAGCATTTGGATCTCACAGTCACTCATCCACAAGCATAGACACACGAAAGCCATAGAAGCACAGATGAATCATGGATGAGACACGTCTTCACTCGGCCATTTTCATATGTACTCACATTGCATCCAGAGGTAGGATCTTGGTTTGGGCGTGTGAACAATAGGATTAAGCTTCCGATTATAATTTCTGTTAGAACGGGATGCTATGCCCCTGGCTTTCACGCCTCAGCCAAACAAGCTTATCCGAGAAGCTATCCTCTTCGTCGAAGCTTCAAACACGAACAACAACATGCCACCCACCCTACAAGCCAACTAACTATACTGTACACTTCGTCATACATCATGCCGTCCTCGTCAAACAGCCCTCAGGGGTGTAATCATAACATTGTGCCATGCGAACAGTTCAGCCGTTGAAGCTGACATGGACGTGATCCCTGTTTCTCTCGTCAGCATTGTCCCATCTTGCCTTCAAGAGAAGAAGAAAAACTTACCAGTGGTTCTGGGTAATATCACCCCGATCCTCCTGGACACGCCACCCGGTCCACGGAACAACATTATCGACAGTAGGGCTCCAAATCCTCTGACCCCAGATCACATACTTGAGGTTTAACGCCGCCCGGTTATTCATAACCCACTCCGCCATGTCCCGGCCCGAGAGGGTAGCCGCGCCGCCGCTATCCCCAATCATGAAATCGATAGCGCGCCCACAGCAGTGGTCGCTGCTGCTGCTCGTGCACGCGCAGTCGCGGATACAGAAGAACTCGCGCGTGCGGCCGGGGAACTGGCCGTTAATAGTGGCGGCGCCGTCGATAGCGACCTGCTGGCACGACGACGCGGGCGGGAGCCGCGGGTTCGGGTCGTAGCCGCCGAAGCCGACCTCGTTACTGCTACAGCACATCATGGCGGAAGGGCCGGGGCACTGGTTCGCCACGGTGTCGCCGGCGCAGTCGGAGACCCAGCGGCAGTTACCCTGCGCGCCGTTATCGCAGGAGGGCTTGGAGCAGCATTTTACGTCGGCGGGGTCTAGCGGGCAGGCGTTGTCGATGGTGCTGCCGCCGGCGGCGGAGCAGGCTGCGGTTGAGACGCAGACGCCTGGGGTGTTTTGGACTTTTGTTAGCCAGACAAGACCTCTGTGACTCACAAGAGGTGACTTGTGACGGCACGGGGAAGATGAAAGGGGCGAGGATGAGGACACGACGTACCAGCGATGCCATCGGGACCTTCACAGGGCTCGTTGAGGGCGGCCAAGGCCGTGGTGGCCGAGAGGGCGACAAGAAGTTCGCGAAGCTGCATGGCGATGAGAACGATATACGTAGCAAGTCGATTGATAAGTGGTAAATTGGTAATGCGAATACTAGAGAATCTGAAGGGAGAACGGGGCCGGCCCCCTTTTATGTTCCTGGTCCCGCTGGATGAGTTCGCAGAAGCTCTCCTGAGACGTTGTCTTGCTCGTCCAAACCACGCCGAACCGCTGACGATCCCCCAGGCTGCGGCCCCGTCCGTCTCGATCAACAGTCCATCATCAACGTAAGCCGGTAACAGTCCCAAACGCTACGACGTTACAGCGTGCACATCCTCCACCACTTACGAGAATTCTACCCCTTCCGCCCGTGCTTGGCCAGCGTCATGGACCTGCCTCTAACCTGCGACCTTCCCCCTTCTTTCTGGGATTCCCTTCTCAACTGTAAGGAGGAAGGAGGAACCACACAACATCGTTAAGGTGCCCTGTAGTTGTAAGAAGAAAAGGGGGGTTCAGAGAGACTTGGGGAGGTGATTACGGGGTGATCACTGATCTACTGCTGATCCCTTTTGGGGATAGCGAGGATCAGTTATCTAGTCGGGCAATTTCTGGCGAAAGGAAGAGACGCAAGACTGAATATCAGCTGATAAGCACATAGTCAGTGGCGGTCCCGTCTTGCTCCTATATTCACATGCACCTACACGTATTAGTGAAGGTTGGCGGATTCCAGGGTCGAATTCATGCATGGAAACTCGGGGGCAGTATGTAGATCGAGGGGGATCACGCTGCACGCATGCCAGGAGAGCAGCATGAAGAATTTCGGCGACTATGACGAATCTGTGAGTTGATGATCGACATGGGGCTATGGTCCTGGTTCGCGAGTACTGTTGCATTTCAGAAGAATGCGGGTGAAGAACTGTCGATCCCTCGGTGCCCGCATTCGCCTGGAATGTCATGCATTCGCAGCGTTTTACACGTGCGGACTCCGGAGTATCCTAGCACCTCGGTGGCTTTCTTAACTGCCGGGGATTTCGGATTCCTGCACCATGACGATCGCGGGAGACGCAGCAACGCTGAAAACAGAACCACCTTCCAGAAACTGCAACACGAATGAACGATCGTCCATCACACCCAGCTATCGATAAGAGTTGAGATCTTCAACTGCAATCACCTCGGCTCGGGACTTGTTCATGTGAAAGGCTTGCCGCTTGGGGTTCGTCTTGCAAAGACTGCGAAGTGACTTGCTCCCTTTTCATAACCCTTCAACTCAAAGTCTTTAGTAGGGGGAAATGTTGGATCAGATATCTAGAAATATATCAGATCCTTGACCAACACTTCCGTGATAATATTGGGCCCCTTTTGCTGCATGTGGCCCCCTACGTGTCGCTACAGTTTACATTGAGCCAACCCATCCGGTCCATGGGATCCCTCTAGAATCGACCCCCTGGTTCTCCGACCAAACTAATAGCAAGACATATCAGTCAGACTCAACAATCACTTACGAATTAGACACACGATACATATATGCCATCAAACTCCCAATCAGATTATGACGACCCTTCGCATTTGCGTCACGGTGCTGGGAAAAACCCCGCGAGGGGAGAAAAACCAGCACCAAGGGATAGAAAAAGGACCACACGACAGAACTACGTACTAGGCACCAACCAAACCCCGGACAGCAGGGTAAAAGCGAGGACAGCAGATGCCGTTTAGTAGTCGTCTCCGCGGCTCAAGACTTCCTTGTGCGTCTCGCGTAAGAGTAGAGTCTGGGTCCCTCGTAAGCGGCACGTTCGCTTCGTGAATGACAACAGAAACTTACATGTTCAAACTGCGCCGAGTACGACCCCGGAATGTCCGCCAGGGGTTCATAAGGTTCCACAATCCCGTTGGAGATGAGACAGTTCATCTGTTATTGTTGTCAGTGTCGACTGATTTCTCCTCAAAAGCCAGAGTCGGGGTGCTTGTACTTACACCGGCCAGATACCTCTCCATGCCAAGTCGGTCAAGATAACGACGGCAGAAGACCAAGGTGCCGAAGTTCTCTCTGATGGTCTTGTGAAGACGCTTGGCTGAGGCCAGGGGTAAAGACCCTGCCAGTGGCGCGTCGTGGTTCAACCCGTAGCCGTAGATGCCCACCTGGTCGTGTTAGGAGTCTTGTCTTGCATTGGAGAAGGAATAGGATTGCAAAGGGGAAAAGAGAAAGGAGAGAGAGAGAAAGAGAGAGAGAGAAGCGAAGAGAAAAAAGACCACTCACATCATCGCGTATATAGCCTCGTCCCGTCGTGCCAAACGTCTCAATGGCGAACACTTCGCCCTCCTCCATCTTGGTCTGGTCCGAGTTTTTGACAAACGGTATGGACTTCCCGCCGTGAATACGGTACTGCTTGATATCATGGGCAGAGAGATTCCGCACCGGCTTGACGGGGAACGTCTTCCCACCTATTTCGACCTCGTAGCTCTCCATCGCTTCCTGAATGGCCGCGCTCACCACCAGCGGTCTGAGGCACAATGCGACGTAAGTCGTTAGCAAGAATACATACATCCCAACTCCGGTCGTCACCGACTCACCTTGACCCCCGTGTTGGTGGCATCCCGGACAGCAGCGAGGAGGTTGTCATACGTGGGGTCGAACGCCATGGTAAACGCGCTATCGACAATCCAGCCATTCACGTGGACGCCAAAGTCGACTTTCATGACGTCCTGCTGCCTCAGCACGACCGCCTTCTGGCCCGGGTTCGGCGTGTAGTGCGCGACTTGGTGGTTGAGGCACAGGCCCGTGGGGAAGCCCATGCCGGCCTTGAGGCTGTCCCCCGGTTCCAGGCCCGCATGGCCCAGCAGCGCCCTGACGCCATCCTCGATGCCCTCGGCGATTTCGTGGAGCGTGTGGCCCGGCTTGACCGTCTCTTGCACCCATCGGCGGGTTTGGCGGTGCACTTCGGCGGCCTTGCGGTAGCTGCGGAGGAAGTCGTCGTCGTCGTCCCAGTGCCGCCGACGAGCGTCGTGGCGTGCTTCGACTGCCGCTGGGGGTGCCTTTGTGTAGCTTTGCAGTTCCCCTTCGGGGTAGTCGCCTGACGGGAAGAGGTCGCCCAGTGGGATTCTCGGGGGCGACGATTGCGTTCGGGGTAGAGAAGCCGTCTTTTTGGTCTTCTTCTTCTTCTTTTTGGACTTCTTCCGTTGCTTCGGTGGTATAGCTTCATTTGACGAAGGAGTCCCTAGCGGGGCCAGGCTTGTTTCTCCGTTGTTGTCGTCGTCATCGTCGTCGTCGTCGCTTTCATCTTCGCCCCCCGCGTCTCCCAAACAGCCATCTCCATCCCTGGACGTATGGCAGCCCCGAGGCTCACCTCCGACCCGGCGAGAAGCTCCATCGGAGTTGGGTGAGTCGCCTGATGAAATTAGAACCTACGATAACGCGCGAGCCATGGTGAAGGCTGAAGCCGCATTACGTACCGTCATGTCGGCGATGCTCGTTTTCCGGACTTTTGGATCCCATTCCGACATTGACAGGCTCAAAGACTTAAACTGCAGGCTGTATGAATGACCGAGAAAAGGTTTCCTGGAGTTGAGCGAGTTTGGCGTGAATTCACAACTGCAGTGTGATCAATGTGATGGAGAGAAGAGGACTGGATGGACTCGTCGGACTGAATAGGTGATGGCGGTGAGACCGTGAGACCGTGAGACCCCGCTCGGCAGGTGCGATGAGATTATTAATCGTCAACACCGGATGACTGTGAAAACACAAGATTAACCTAGTATGCATTACGTAAGGAATTATGTTAATTTAAGAGCTAGGGTAGATATCTAGTCTAGGCGATACGGGCCAGGGTACTTAAGCAGAACGGTTTCCCTATATAAACACCGTTCGTTTAATATACCTACGCCCGAAGAGTCTACTGTTTTTATACCGACGATTTCCCACAGGACTAGTTATTAGACCACGGCTGTATAGGGCCGATACAGTTATGCGTTATACGTTTATACTCCCCTTTAAATCGTTAGGTATCTAGGCAGTAGAGGAGCGACGATTTAGCTCACGTTAACTAGTAATCCTACTAGTAACCTATAGTATCTATTCTATCTTAAGGAGGCCTTTAAAGTAGTTAAACGGCCCTAATTATAAGGGCTTTATAAAGCCGTCGGCGGGGTTATTAGCGCTCTTAATATACTCGATCTTAACCTCCTTATAGTCTATAGCGTTAAAGACGTAAGAGTAGTTAAGCAGCGTGAACTTACTACGATTAGAACGCTCTGACTTCGCGATAGCGTTAGTATTATCGACTTTAATAGTAATAAGGGCGAGGTCCTCGTTAAGCTCACGTAGGAGGTAGCGTATCTATTAAGCAGTTTACACTGCATTGCTAAGAGCGTAGAACTCGGCTTTAGGTATAGATTTTATAACGCGAGCTTAGCGTTTAGAAGACTAAGCTATAGGAGCTCTAGCTATAAAAAACACCTATCTAGTAGTTAATTTAGCGCCCTTAGAGTCGGCGAAGCTAGAGTCGGAGGCTCCGTAAAGTCCTAGACGGTTATTAGTAGGTTAGTAGTCTTTATTACGGAAGATAAGCCTATTAGATAGGCGGCCGCGAAGGTATTATAGGATCCTTTTAACACCGACGAGGTGGTTATCGAGGGGCGCGTGACTAAAGTGTCCCTAAAAGGAGGCAGCGTAGATACTATCGGGTCTTATTAGGTATACTGGGTATAATAGTTTCCCTATAATTTTACGGTATAGGGTATATTCTTCTTCGTCTAGCGGTATAGTAGTGATATTATTAGTTCCGGGTCCGGGGGTAGCGTTAGTTCCTCTGCCCACGGCGGTAGCGAGGTGGTTTAGATCTATTAGTGTAGTTACCGACCTTATAGTGGTGTAGTTAAGTTCCTTAAGGGCCTCCGCGATATAGGCGTCTTATATAATTACGGTACGGTTAGGTTCCTATTAAATATAGACTCTAAGGAAGTAATCGGTGAGGCCTAGGTCGATAATATTAAGGCGTTTAGCTAGTTAATTAAATAGCTAGGGGGTTACTATAGGAGGGCCGGTAACGAGGAAGTCGTTAATATACGTGGAAACGATAACGCCGACGGTAGTATTACGATAAATCGTAGGATCAGAAATTAGTAGTTTATAGCTAAGGGTATCTAGTTCTTTACGGAGCCGTTATTACTATTAGTAGCCTCCCTGCTTTAGGCCGTAGAGGGCTTTACAGAGGCGTATAAGGAGGTTAGAGTGCTAGCCGAGTTAAGTTACGAGGTGTTAATACTAGGGGTTCTTAAAGAAGTCCGATAGTATACCGAACTACCTTATATAGACCTATTCCTTAAGGTCGCCGTAAAGATAGGCGCCGACGACGTTAAACTAACGAATAGGCTATCTATTAATCGTTACGAGGGCGATAATAATACGCTATAAGGCTGCTTTAATAGTGGAGGCGTAGGTGTTATAGTAGTCGATCCTATACCGTTATTAGAAGCCTCTAGCGATTACCCTGGCTTTACGTTTTTCGAGGAGGCCGTTCTTCTTCTTATATTTTAGCACGATTTTTACGGTTAGCCTATAGCTCCGTTACTTTAGAAGAGACTTAAAAGACAGGGCACCGTAACTAATCAGGCTAAGGATCTCGTCGTAGATAGCCTTTTTCTAGGAGGGCTAGTTAAGCAGGCGGCGTGCCTTTACTACGCTTTTAGAGTCCGGCGTGGTTTATTAGTTACCCTTATTATCGGTGGGCGAGGATCCGGCGTTATTATTACGTAGGCGTTAAATATCCGCGGGGTCCACGCCGGGTAGTGGTTTCTTAACTATAAATGTGGCTCCGAGGGATACCTTATATTCCTTTAGGTTAACCGTTAGTTCTATAGCGTACAGCTAGTGGCTATTAAGGCTTTATAGGTCTTTATAACCTACGATTAAAGGATCGTTACAGGCGTTAGTAGTATACGTTACGGTGCTTTCGGTGCTATAAACGATATCGTATACTATTAAGAAAGTCGGTCTAGGCGGGGTAGCGAGTAGTTATTTATCTAGTTCCGGTATACCGGTTAGAGGGTGAAGGTTATTACGATAGTTCCCGGGTGGTTAGCTTTATACTGCCGAGGGTTATACCTGCGAGGGGATACCGCTATCGTGATAGTCCTCGTGGAAGATTACCTAGCTAGGCATAACTAGCCTGCCTTTAGGTTACTCGACCTATTTGGTGGCGGGAATCTAAACGCGGTATAGGTACTCCCCTTTAAATCCGATACGGATACCCTCTTCCGCGCGGGTGTTAAGCTTATAAGCCTTTACCCTAATCTCGGGGGGGATATAAGTAAAGACTCTGCAGCCGAGGGTCCTTAAGTAGTGGATAAGTGGCTTATTATTATAGCCGGGAGCTAGGTCGTCGTAGTAGGCTTAGTAAGGGGTCTTCTTATAGACTACGGAGGTGGCCGTGATATTACTAAGGTATACGGAGCTACGGAGGATTTTAGGCTATAGAAAACGGGGGATATCGGCACTAACTGCTATTTTCCTACCCTTATCGAGGATAGCGCGGATAGACCTTTCCGTAACGCCGTTCTATTCGTGGCCGTAAGGAGGGCTATTTAAAAAAGAGGTGCCCTAGGCTTAGGGGTTATAGCGAAGACCGTTACTAAGGAACTCCCCTACGTTATCGGTATATACGTGCCGTATAGGTTATTCCTAGCGGTTACTATATAAGGTCAGGGCGTTAAGTAGCAGGCGGCCGAGGTCTCCTTTTATCTTAGAGGTGAGGAGGCCCTTCTTCCGGGAGGCGTTGTCCGTTATACTAAGGCCGTACTTATCGCTAGATAGTCTAACGGGCTTTAGCTCGAAGATATCGATGTGCTAAAGCTCCCCTACATGGGTAGCACGGGGGCGGGGGTCCTTAGGGCTATACCTAACGCTATAGGAGAGGTTATAAACTACGCAGGGTTAGCCGTTTATTTTTCCGGCTTCTAGAGTGTTTTTTAGTGATTTTAACGGTGTTACGGAGGTCCTTACAATTAACGTGGCTAAGGCGTTAGTGCTAAAGGCGTGTCTGTAGTGCCTACGGTGCCTATAAGGTTACCGCTCCAGTTTACGGATCGTCGAGTCGTTAGTCGGCAGGTTATACTATACCTGGTTAGGGCTTATTAGGCTATACCTTGCTCGGCGGTACCCTAACTAGTAGTGTTATAGAGGGTAATAGGGTAACTATCACGGAATTAGGTGCGATATAGAAGACGGCTACAGGATCGCTAGGGTGGCTAAGGAAGAAGCCGCGGGTGGCTATATCGATAGTGGCGATACCTTCGCCTGCCTTATTTTTTAGGATATTACGGTCTAAATAACTGCTACCTGCGTATATTATCTCCCCTGATATTATATTAATATAAAGGCCGGGAATACGAACCGTTCGTTACAGGATAATAACCTTCTCTTTACCGTTAGGGCCTTATAGATATACCTTAGCCACCCCGATATAGGTGGGCTTAATAGTGCCGTTCGCGGTGATAATCTAGAACTGGTTTTATTCGAGGATTTCTCTATAGTTAATATAGGATTTAAAATCCCCTATAGAGTATAGTAAGACACCGGAATCCTATAGCTAGCGGTTATAAACGTGCTTCCTATTACCTTAGAAGACGTATTCCACGAGGGTTATAGGTGCCCTGGGTATTATTAGGCGTTCGCTATTAGTGGCGGTTACGGCGGCGCCGTTCTAGGGTTCTTCTATAGCGGTATCGGTGCCACTATAGGCATAGTGGGCAGTGGCCTCGTCGTAAGGCTTACTATCCGTTGCCCTCCGCCCGTCGATTAGACTATTATAAGCGTCGGTGGCGGTTTAGGCGGGGGGCTTAGGCACGGGGATTTCCCCGGGGTAAATCGTCAGATCTTCTATATCTATAAAGGGGGTGCCGTGGAGGTAGTCTTAGTATAGACCTTTAAGTTACACCAGCGCTTATAGGCAGGCGCGGCTAGTAAAGACGCTATTATTATTATCTAGATAGTCCTCCAGGCTATTAAGGGCGTTAATAGCTCCCTTATTAGTATTAACGTTATTATTACGGTCGTTGCCGCTATTATTATTATTACGGCTATAGCCTCCGCGGCCGTAGCCTCCGCGGCTATAACCTCTCCCTCCTCGGTTATTAATATTATTATGCCTAAGGCCTCCAGGGGAGCCGTAATCCTCTATTTTATGCGTTTCCGGCCAAGGGCAGTTAGGGGTCGTATAAGGCTTGCAGCGGTTATTGTAGGCAGCGTTAGATTATTTATTAGATTATTCCTTAGATCCGCTGCCTTATTAGTCGTTATTAGAGTTCCCTTACCGAGAGCCGCGGCGGTTATTATTACGGTTCTATTTTAATATCTCTTATTCCTATTCTAGCAGTTCATCGGTTATAATAGCGATATCGTGGGCCTTCTTCTTATCCTTCTTCCTATAAAAACGCTAGTTATCTTTATAGGATCAGTAGGTTCCGGGCAGGCTATTAACGATATTAGCGGCTATTAAT